AATATGCGCTCAAGGGTACAAAGATTGATCTCTGAACAGCCAACTGGTTGCAATATTCCTTGAGGTCTTTGCTAGGAAAGATGTTTTGCTGAAGAACAATGTAGTAGAAAATCCATACATACATTGTTGGAACTACCCAGCAAGTCTGACAAGTGAGTTTACTTGATTAATAGGAGTGTTTCCTATGTTCCTCACTTGAGAGAATTTTAATTCTTCAAAACTCCAAGGTATACCCTACAATGTAGTCTTCACTCATGGAATTCAGCAGCTGGCCAGTTTAACAGGAAGAGACTTCCTGTAACCACAGGGAGACCACAGGTAATGCAATGATTACTATGATTTATTTAGATATGCAGCTTATGAAGCAAATAAGATCACCATGTCAAAGCTTAAGATAACATACAGACAACTGCAAGTCTAAATCACAAGCCAGAACTCCCTTTATCTCAAACAGAAGATCAGTATGTCTATTTAACAGTCAAGGTATGGGAAAGATAGGGCAATTCACATGAGAGATTGTAATAGAGCCAGGGGAGGGTGGACTTTAGGGTGATTGTGATGACCATGCCTTGGAAGCCCTGTTCTAAAGGTTCATGCTAAAATCCTGTGCTGGGCTTCTACCACACTCCTAATACAGGAGGAAAGGGAGCTGGATCTACATATGCTATACTCATCACATGAAGATTTTGTAATCATCTTTTGGAAATCAGCATAGAAAAGAATGTCCTCATCAGAGTTTGCAATTAATGTAGGTGAACTATAACATCTGCTACAGGATTAACTGGGAAATCTCTGCTTTCTTTTGTGTTCCCTAGTCATTCTGCAGAGCAAATGTGAGTAGACATGATGTTAATTAGTGTGGATTCTCTGCAGCATGGTCATGCACACTTATCAGAACTAGCTATCTCACTTCCGCCTGCTGCATGAAGGACAGGTTCTCTCTGAAGAGATCTGTTTTCCTTGCAGAAAAAGGAATGAATGCAGAAATGGAATGGTCTGTTTACAGTAGTCTTGCCGTACTTCCTGTGTCAATAACTTAAAATCAGTCTTGCACCACCTCTTCAGGATGCTGAAGTCCTCCAAACCCACAGAACTATGTGTGGCCACTGTCATTTAGCAGAGAAGTTGTTTTCCATGGGCAGCAAGCCTTCATTACTCATTCAGACCATACTCACACATCACTAACAAGCTTCCTTGCACCAGCCTTGGACCCTTTGAAAAATGAAACCACCCCTCACTTTTCTGCTTAAGACTGCACTGAGTTGCCTTGATTTGCAGCCTGTTGTTCTGTCCTTGAAGAGAGCTGGTGTATGCCAAGGGCTACCCTTCCTCTTGTAACCCACAGGACAGAGGCACCACAGAAGCTTGTGTGAGCTCAGTACTGCAGATAGAAGGCAGCATTTCATTGCAGTCCCAGACAGTCAAATTCAGACATCAAGGCTGAGCCTAATTTTTAGTGCAGAAGAACTCAGCACTAGAATTTCATTTCACAAAGAACACTCTGGACCTTAAAGCCCAAATCTGGGCCCAAAGACTCAATGAAGTCCTTGTTAATGAAATAGAGCCAAAAAGCTGACAGGACCCATCTTTGCAGAGCAATACCTTTCAGCAGGCTTCCATACATTCTCCCATCCATACATATGGATGCCCATAGCAAGTCAAGAGCTGGACTTCAACAAAGGTCTCTTTCTTTCCAAAGCAGGACCACCTGTACCAGTGAGGTCCCACTTATACCAAAGCCACTTTTTATACTCCTAGCAACTGATCAAGGCTGCCTATAAAGGATTTTTAGGGGTTTTTTCTGGCCTAGGTTCAGTGGATCATTACACAAGTCTTCATATAACTGCCCTTACTTTGGTCTTTGTTTCTCAAGAACTAGAAAAGTAGGATTGCTGTTGCCTTCTTGCTGTTTAGTTTGCAATCTCAGTTCTTACTGCTTCAGTTGCTGGCACAGTGAATCTTTATAGTGCTTCTGCCAAGGAGATTTACTGCTGTTGCCTCAGGGTCTGATTGAGCTGTTGGTAAACTTCCACCCTGCTCTCCCAGCTATTTTATAAGGAGTTTCAGATTATCTTCTGGGCTCAGTTACTGTATTTTCATTCTATGCTAGATACAGAACTATCTGATTTTCCTCTAGCCTTGATAAAACAGCCCAACAAATGATATAATTTAAAAAAAAATCTTTCTTGTACATAAACCAAACACAATAACAGAGGAATCCAAGGCATTACAGAGGAAGCAATCAATTCCTTTAGATCAGGCACAAGCATTTTTCTTCCCCTTCAAATCAGGAGAAAAAACATCCTAATCAGAAAAGGTCCATTGACCCTGCAAAAAAAAAAAAAAAATGGTGTAACCTCTACCAACTTTGCTCACTTACTTTGAACTCCAGCTTAGCTCAATCACTCATCCCTTCCTTTAGACAGGAGACTTACAAAAGGCTGACAAATACTTCTCCTACCTCTTGGCTGACCCTAGGTACCCATGCTAATGGAGGGGAGAAGAGCTTTTTGGAGGAAATGCCACATAAATCTGAGGTTCCTCCTCTGCAATTTGTGTGTCCATGGGACATCAGGCTGATACGGCATCAGTAATACTGAGCATTGCAAGGTCAAAGCCAAACAAACTCAAAGCCTGTTATTTTGCCACACATGATGACACAGCTTGGGCAGGAGGAATGAAGCTATCACAATGAAACTAAGCCCCAGAAGACTAGATGGACCTAAGGAGTTTATATGTGCCATATATATAATAGTTATAAAAAGGTCATCTTATTTCCATTCATATAATGATAACAGCTGTTTTCATTGAGGTGCTTTTATGTCTTGGTCCAAATTGCTTGTAAGCTTAATAAGGCAGATATTGGGTGAATTCAGGCTGTTTTTCAAGATATTTGCAAATTTAATATTTATCACTGATGCACACATTATTTTAGTCTGTGACTAATCCATAGGAACACTATACCTATTATATGGCAAGCGCAAGAGTAACTACTGAATAAGGCAGATTAAGTATGCTAGAATTACCTATCCAAATATTTTGGAAAGGCATATATAAGATTTATAAGTAAGATATTAGATTTATAAGTAAGATATTAAAATGACATGGTTGGAGTGGGCTGGAGGGAAATGAACTTGAGATCTCTGGTACCTGCTTTTGTCTTGCTTTAACCACACCAGGGAGAGATTTTGAGTATAAAAACTGGCCAGGTTTGAGCTGTGTTTAGAAAGTTGCCTGATAATTAGATGCAAAGCCTGTTAAATATATATCATTTTTCCACTGTGCAAGCATGAATTATTTCCTGTAATAATTTTTTCTGTACATGTTACTAGGCTGTATATAGATCAGAAATGGATATTTATAATTAGCCTGTATTTGTCTTCACCTCTATCTTTGTTTCCAAGGGTTGCTATGGATAACAGTTCTTCCACCTCCTGTGTACTCATTTTGCAGGTCTTGTGAGTCCCACAAGGATGAATCCTCTCTTCCATCACATTCAGTATTGATACAATGATCCGATGAAACAACCTAAGTGAAAATATGGGCACTACTGCAGTAAGCATTACATATCTTGCCATTAAACCTTAAAAAAATCATCACAGCGTTCCTGTGCCTTCCTAGGACAGCTGCCTCAAGCAGTGTAGGCAAACTAAGAAATATGCGACAAGAGAAATATTTCCAGGAGTTTGCCTCTTTTCTAAACTCATATTTCCTGAAAATGCCAAAATATGTGCAAAGAACCATGCCCAATTGCTAAAAATTACAAAAATATCCACTTCCATTTATATTAAGCCAAGATACCATGGCTCATTTCCTTAGACGGATGTTGCCACAGGAATCCATTATGGATTGATTTATTTCAACATATATCTGGAAACAGTAAGAACTGCAGTGAGATACCTGCTACCAAATGTTTTGCTGAGCAAGGAGGATTACTTTCAGCTCAGCACTTCATCTTTGAGAGACTGAGGTCTCTCAAAGAGAAGTGGCCCTGTGATGGCCCAGCTGTATTGCTGCCAGAGGGATCTCCAGCCCTTCTCTGCAACGGCAGGATGGCTTCTGCTCGTGCCCTCCCAGGACCTGGAAGATGCTGAATGAGAGCTAAGAAAGGAGGATCATAAATGTTAGAATCTGACATTGCTCTGCGCCATTAGAAGAGAGTGAATTTTTCCTGGAAGTAAAAGTGGATTACCGGGTTTACTGCAGGAAGGATTAGGGATCCCCCAGTTTTCAGGCAGTGTGCGTGACTGCCGGCAGAGGCCAGGCTTTCCCAGTGCGCAGCCACACAGTGCCCGGCTGATTGTCCGGCTCTGCCCCGCACACTGGCCTGGCAGGGGGGATGGAGGGGCAGCTCCTGGTCACGGTGGGGCTGCGATGGCAGCCTCGACCCCCGCCTGGCCCTGCCGCCGCATCATCCCACGCTCTCGGGCGGACCGGGAGCCAACGTGAATTTTAGAAACCCCACGGGAAAGCGAGAGCGCTGGAAAGAAGCGCTGCTCGCACGCCTGAAACTCTGTCCCGGCGGGACTCCTCTGTCCTGCACACCGCATCGCTCTGCACGTCTTCTCGCATCCCTCTGTCTTTCCGCATCCCTTCGCCCTGCTGTCACTCTCCTCTCCTTCCACATCCCTGTGTGCATTTCTCCACATCCCCCTGGTTTACATCGTCGCGCACCCGCTGCCCACGAACGCTGGCAGTTCCGAGCCTCTGCCCGGTGTCTGCCCCGGCCGGGGACCCCGTGGAGCACGGGCGGCGGGGCGGGGGGGCCTCGCAGCGGCTTGGGCCGGCTCGCCAGGCCCGGAGCCAGCGGTACCGGCCCGGCCCGGCCGCGGGGCAGCGCGGCCATGACGTCACCGTGCTGCCGAGCCCGGCGGGCCGCGCGCCAGGAGCCGCCGCTGCCGCCCGGAGCCGCCCCCGGCGCGGCGCAGCGCAGCGCAGGGCGGGTCCCGGCGCAGAGCCGCTGCCGGGAGCGCTGGGCCCGGGCAGCCGCCGCGCCTGCAGCTCTCGGCGGGGCCATGCGGATGGCGGTCGGTGCGGCAGCGGGCGAGGGGGCAGCGCAGAGCCCCGGCCCCGCCGCCGTGTCGCTGGGCTTGAGCGTGGCCGTGGTCTCCAGCCTGGTGAACGGCTCCACCTTCGTCCTGCAGAAGAAGGGGATCGTGCGGGCCCGCGGGAGAGGTAGGGGCCCGGCGCCGCGGTGGCCTCGGGTGGGAGCGCCGCTCCCGGGGCTTCCCGGCCTCCCTCCGCACCCCGGTACCCTCCCAGGTGTGCGGGGCCGCTCCCTCCCTCCCTCGCCCGCAGCCTTCCCCGCGCTGCGGCGGTGCCGGCCCGGAGCGGAGGGCGGCAGGCGGACGGGCTGCCCAGGGACCCGGCCCGGCGAGCAGGACGGACACCCGCGGCTGGGTCGGAGCCTGTGTCGGGGGGTGCCCGTGCCGCCTGGTGTGCGGGACATCTTCCCGCGGTCTGGAGCGGGGAGCCGGCTTCAGTTTGTCTCCTAAGCGTGTTTGACAGGAGAGCTCCGTGGCTGGCTCGAGGCGCAGGGGAGGTGATAGATGAGCGGAGAGGCGGAGGGAGGTGCGGTGCGGTGCGGTGCGGGTCGGTCAGGGGGTGTCAGCGCTGGGGAACTGCGCATCACCAACAGCCCCCCGGTGTACGGGCAGAGCCCGTACTGTAACACAGCTGTATTGACACACTGTAACACAGCACTGCGACTTTGGTGTTGTCTGCGCTCCTGCCCATACACAGGTTCTTCTTTCTCATGTACTTATGGGACTTTACCAGTTTCTGTGGCTTAGATAGTGTCTTGCCATGAACAACACCAGCACATCGTGTTGCTTGTTTATTCCATCGCTTCCACAGACACACGCAGGTTGTATCAGTCATGTGGTGGTTTCCACTTTTTGAGAAGAGATAGATCAGTAACATAAATATTTCTTATAAAATAATATTTCTTCTATATTTCATATTGAAATCCCATGCCTCATTATTATTTCCTGAGGTGAACATATTCAGGAACTGACTGTGCTGTCTAGACAGTGTAGCCAAAGCAAAGCTGTAAATTCACGAGTGTGAAGATCTTCTGAATTTTATTTTGAAACTTGAGCTCCCCAAAGCATGCAGCTGAACAGCATTTTCTAGTTGCATCTTCGTGCTTTGAACATAGGAAAATGCAATTTTAAAACATTTATTTATTTGTTTTTAGTATCATATTTTTATGTAAGGGGAAGACTGTAAACACAGGTTGCATCATGCCTTTGAATTGCATTACTGTGGTCAATAGCCATTTGTTTTTGTAGGTGATGGTGTCTGTGTATGAGCATGTGTCCATAAGTTCTAGGAGCTCTTTTTAAAGAAAAATCCTTTTTAGTTCCAGTATTTTCTCTGTATCCATTTCATGTATGTAAATATGTACCTATATGTGCACCTATGTATAATATACAAATATATATATATATAGATATATTTGTATTTGCATTTCTATTGCCTGCTGCATCTAGCATGTTCAGGGTGAATGCAGTGGAGCAAAGCAAGCTTGGAACTATGTTACTACAACCTGGCAGCCTGATCTAAAAATTTTTTTTTGCTCTTCCTGCAATGACCTTACATCTAAATGCATCAGACAAACTTTTGTTTTGCAAGCATAGTCTCCCTTTCCCTCCAAGATGGCTGTAACCCATTTTGATTGTCCACTGAGAAATCACGTTTGCATCATAAATACAAACTTTTTTTTTTTTGAAAGGGAAACAATGAGAAAACACAAGAGAAAAAGAATAATTTTGCAACCCAAGACAGCTGGAGGAAGTTTCTATTTAGGCTGTACTTACTCCTGAAGAACTTTCAGTGGAGCACTGGGTTAAGTGAGTGACAGGCGTGTGCCTGTTTTCTCAGTGCTAGCAGCTGTGAAACTTCCTGTTTTGAAGATATTACTGGTGTTTGTGCATCTTGCTGAGCATTTTGTAGTTCTTTCTATTCGGATGCTCAGTGAGGAGGCATCCAGGAAAATACCCCAGGTTTTTCTCTATTTCATGTTATGAAGCAGTAGGGATCTGCCTTGAATTAGCAGTTGGAGCTGTGAGTCTGTGATGGCCAGTGTCAAATGATGTCTTCTTTCCATTGTCTTCAGCAGGTGTTGTATAATTAACAAGGAGGCACTTCAAGTCTCTCCTGTCTTCTCTCTTGAATCAATAATATAGTATTGATGTAATTAGCAATCCTTGTCTAGTTAGAAACAGCAGTGGGTGACAAATATTGTGCAAAGTTACCTTACTTGAGTCAATATTTTCTATAATTTCTGCCCCCAACAGTGTTTCTATTTTATATGCAATAACAAAAGTCTAAGAAATTACTACGCCCACTCTAAAGCTGGCCATTTTCATTAGTCATATCTCATCTCTTTTCAATTGTGTAGTGTGATTTCCAAGTGCTTAATACTTGATGTGTTTCCAGAGTTAGTGATGGCTGTGTTTTCCTTCCATTTGGGATTTCAGAGTAGGTACAGTTTTGCCTACTACTCCAGCAGCTTTTGAGAGGGCATCTTCCCAAATGAATGCAGAGCTGTATTGCTAGAAAGAGGAGCAAAACATAGGAGCATGACTTGATGCCAAGGTTGTGCCCAGAGAAGGCCATGCTTTAGTTTAGGAAGTGGTCATGAGCCTTGATGTTCTGCAGAAGCAGAACTTCTCTGGTGCACCAGCTCCACCTGGGCACATCCCAAGGCAAGAGCTTATAATCTGACAGTGAAGATAATCACCCTCCAGTTTGGGAGGCACTAAGGACAATGCAGAGATTTTACTCCTCACTGAAACTGAACTATGTTAGAAATTCAGAGGCTTCAGGTGGAGCACTTTCCAATGCTTAAATGCAGGAAGATAAGGCAACACAATGGTCCTGCCAAACCTGTGTGCCAAAACTGCTAAAACAATTTCTCAGCTACATTTTTTCTGATAAAATTTCACTGAGGTTGTATTAGCAAACTAACTGAGCCAATTCATGTTCTGTTTCCATAGGTTTACAGTTCTCCCAGGTTTTAATTTGTATGTTTAAATGTCACCCTCAGAAGCATTTATTGGCATTTTGGATGCTTTTCTACGCAATACTGCATTAGTGTCTCATAGGTGGTACTTCAAACTGGAAACCAGAACTTCTGACTAACACATTGTCTTAAGAAAGTCTTACTTGGAAACATAAGCCAAATCCAATATTGGGTTTTTTTGTTTGTTTGTTTTTTGGGTTTTTTTTGGTTTTTTTTTTTGTTTGTTTTTTTTGTTTTTTTAAATCTCAGATTCAGTTGCCTTGAAGAATAGTTTTAAGATTAAGGTCTTTAATAACTGCGACTGTTGTTTCATAGTTCCAATACTGTGATTTCATATTTTTCTAATACATTTTCCTATACTTCCAGGTACTTCATACTTAACTGATATAGTATGGTGGTCGGGCACTATTGCAAGTAAGTATCTTGAAAAGTTTTAATTTTTTTTTTTAAAGGGAGCTTTGCTTAGATGGTGATAGGAGACGTCAGGAAATCTGGGTTTTCATCTTGAATCTTAGACTTCCTTGTCATGAAATTTCCATCCCTGGAAATATTCCACTTTTAGTAAACTCTTACCATGGCTACCAAGCCTGGTGGTGTTTGCAGAGGCAAAGAGCTGGGACAAACATGAGTCAGCCATCTTTCCACATTTCTAAACCATTTGGTGCTTGCAGTCCTTGGCAGCCACACACTGCTCTGACTCTGGGTTCCTGCATGGTTTGTGTCTCTGTATTGCACTGGCCAGCTCAGTTTTTAATAAAAATCAAAGCTGAATTAAAAATTGTTGCTCTGCACAAAAGGGTTCATTGAACACATGTTATGCTTTAGATCAGAAAGCATTTAACCAGCCTCAATTAAAAAAAAAAAAAAAATGCTTTTGGTTTCTTGTTCAACAGATACAGTTTCAGTTTTGCTTTTAATCTGCAAGACTAATGCAGAGCCTTCTGTGGTGCTGATATGAGATCCGTGTACTTTTACCCTTAATATCTTTGTAACTGCTAACACCAAGTTCATTTTCTGATGGGAATCTGGAGCATGGGGAGCAGCTAGCTTTCTCCTCTTACATGAGCCCTGGTTCTACTCACAAGTTTAGAATCATACCCCACTTTTAGATTCTAATCCAGCCTTTTGTGAATTATTTGGAAAGTTCTGATGCTGTTTCTGAGAAGTATATGGGTCCAGTTTTGCCTCTGATTTTGTGGCAGCAAGGTAGGTCTCTGATTTTTGGTTTTGTTGTCTTAAAGCTATGCAAAAGGAATGAAAACCAAGAGATCCCATTGAAGGACAAAGTTCACAGCAAGTGTAGAAGCCAACAGAGCTTCAGAAGAAAAGTGTTCAGCTGATTTAACCTGAGTTTAAGTGGATCTTTGACAGTTTCCTCCCCTGACAGGATCACTACTGCCGAAGTAAAAGTAAATCTGTGCATCAATCGCTGTTCACTCCTGAGGCTCCCATCTGTAATCTCTGAGCAGAAGGAGTTAAAAAAAGGGAGGTTTTATTACAGGACTTATCTTGGTGAATCAGAGAAAACAATTTCATGCTTAAAAGAGCTGACTGAACTGAATGAAGGCAAAACAGCTGAAGGGAATGGTATCAGCTGACTTTTTTCCAGTAGCTACATGCAGGTATTTCAAAACAAAACCTCAGTGGCTTTACCAAGGAACTGAGCAAGAAGAGCTGCTTGTGGATATTACAGACTCAGAATGGCAGCACAGTCACAAACAGCAGCAGCAAGGGCCAGGGAGGCACCTATGGGATGCAGAGAAAGGCTCTGTGGGAAAAGGTGTTACTTGTGGAATTAGCAAAGCCCCCAGTTATCTGGGTGAAATGATAACAGCTGACATCATTTTCTCAAGCAGAGAATTTGGCGTTTATATGACTAACAAAAACCACATAAACTCTATCAACTTGTTCTCATGGTGTTTGTTCAGATGGTGAATAAGTGTTTCTGTGTTGGCATGCTGACTCAGCATAATGCTGCCCAACCATTTGGGGGCCCTGGGATCCACTGGATTACTGAAGACTTCAGAGGAAGGGCTGCACATTCTGCACATTTCCTTACTCTGTAGTCAAAAGAGTGATTGCAGCATGTATACAGGTATTTCAATGAGCATTAAACTAATTAATTGGCTAATTAATTAGTTTCAGTGCAGGTTTTGATAGCAGCAGTGATGTGGCTGGTTCTTACAGTGAAGACATCTGCATTAGTGTTGTATTATAGATGGGGAGCACACTTGTGAAGTGTATCTCCTGTTTGTCACCACAGATTGGGCTGTATTTCACATTTCATAGCAGAGTTGGGGCTCCTGACCTGGTCTTTAAAATGAAACTAGGTTGGAAGATGAATTCTAGGAACATACTTAAAGTACTTGATGCATGTGAGCTGCAAATAGATTTTCAGTAAGCGGGAGCAGGCTGAAGTTTGTCTGAAATAAAGCCCCTGGCATGCCTAGAATAGGTATCCTTTGCAGTTCAGGTCTACTCCTGGTCTCCTTGCTAATGAAAAACATGCCAGTGTACATCAGGTTTTGTGTTGCAGTAACTTTGAGGGTACTGGTACTTGTTTGTTATATTAAAAGCTTGATGTGCCTTCAAGAACTGAAGTCATGTCTTGACTTACAGCACTGCTGTATCTGATGAGGAATTTCTGTTCAGAGAGGACTGGAAAGGTTGGCAGCAAAGGTCCTCAACATTGGGTAGATGGTAACAATCACTGAGCTTCTTTTTTTAATTAGTGTTAACTAGTCCTGGTCTGTCATTTGTGGTGGTAAGGGACTGCTCCTACTACTGGTTACTACTACATGGTGATGTGGAAAATCTCCAGTTAGTTCAGTTACCTTACAATATGTTCCATTTGACTGAAGCTTCAGAGATCTACTTTATGGATTGATGTTGATGCCATCTGTTAAGAGTTCTTCCAACACAAAGTTCAGACACCTGACCTCCAAAAAAAGCACCCTTTTGTCCAAGTCATTTGGAAATGTATGTCATCTGCAGAAATGCAGTGCCAGCTGTGCACCATTCTCCATCCAAGATCTGCCCCAATGCCTTCAGATGCCTTGAAGATAATGCCGGAGTTGCTGCATAGATCTCCAAACAGCCTGAGGCTGATAACTGAGTTACTCTGTTCCTAGGGACAGGGAGATCACCACTATCTCTTGTGCCTCAGAAATGCTGCTGCTCATCAATTTCTGTGTCTTACTCCTGCACAGAGAAAGCCTCAGTGAATTTAATTAGTATAATTTTTCCACACTCTGCAATTTTGCAAGTTTTTTTATCTCCTTCGTATTTCCTGTAGGTTATACAGGTCTTCAGCTCTACTGATAATGTGAGCTAAATTGGTAAATTAATTAATGTTTGCAGAGTGCTTTGCAGATGTAAAAAACTGGATGATAGTAATGACATTTGATAGTTGAGGGCAGTGCCAGCCTGAGCATAAAGACATCTTGGATTCTTGAAATGTTTTTAAATGCTGATAATGGCTTTTAACAGCAACTGGAAATTTGAGCTGTAATTTGTGCTCAATCTCAAGCTTCTTGCCAGTTACCACAGACCCTGTAACTATGCAAGTATGCTGACCTATTATAAACTTGCCAGCACTTGCAAAACCATCTAGCTTTTATTTTTTAACTGAAAACTTGAACACATGAACTGTTGTCACAGCTGTGATGTGCAATACTGTGGTAAATCTTGGAATTTACTTTTACTGGAAGAAAGAGAAATAAGGTTGAGGCTGTTACTGTGTCTTGTCAGGCATGTTCTTTTTGCAGTTGTCAGGAATGACTTTGGATGTTACATAGTGTTAGGAAAAGTTGGTGTAGTATGTTGAAGAGCCCTTGTGCATGTGCTTAGTGTTTCAGTAGTAGATTCCTCAGCGCTGTCTTTGTTTCCCCCCCAAAAACTAACACTGCTGTTAGGAACTATAATCAAGTACATTTGTTTTATGAGAATGCACATTCTAAGGATGAAACCATGGATTATATATACTTTTACTCCTCCTCATACAAATATTTGAGTGTAATACTGTGATTATAATCCATGAGTGTTTCTAATTCATAGTCTTATTTATATTTAACTAAGAGAAATTACAAATGAGATTATTTACTGTGCCTACTTGGATATTCTTGTGTGGCAAATATAAATCTTGTATTAACAAATACAAAACTATAGAAAATTTCCAGTAATTTTGTTTACGTGCAAAATTAACAGAACTAAGCAAATTATAACATCTGTTTTCCAGTTAGGTCAGTCTTTCCCAAACAGTATTGGGCAAGTTTTGATTACTTGTTTTTACAAAGGGGTTTAAAGGCTTATTTCTGGTTCTCTTGACAGTGGCACTGGGTCAAATAGGGAATTTCTTGGCCTACACTGCAGTCCCAACTGTGCTAGTGACGCCCTTGGGAGCTCTTGGCGTTCCATTTGGGTAAGAGTTTGCTTTTCTTGTTCTTATCTGGATATCATTACTACTTAGTAAAATGTCAGATGGACTCAGTGCTCACTGGAGGTCCACTGAGAAATGTCAGGCTTATGGCTGTTCATGATGTGTTACAATGTTACTTATTCCTGTTTTCCCCGGGAAAGCATGGCTGGGGGAAGGCAGTGAAGAACAGTTTTCCTCAGTATCTTCTGCTTTTAGTTCTCACTATGATTTTGAACAGATAAACTTTTTTTTTCCTCCCTTTTCTGTGATTGTTCTGGACTTTTCTGCCTATTCTCTAGTTCACAGTTCCCTTACTATGTAGATCTTTCCTTTTGTCTCACAGTCTTTCTCTATCCAGCTATCCATAGCCCATGTGTGTTTATTGATGCTGATTTCATTTTATTGGATCTGGCCTCTTGCCAAGGAGGAAAACTCAAGGGAGTTCCTTGCACATGCATGCCCCTGGCTTCTTAGAAGTTATGTGTGTAGGAGGCACAGAAAAGGCAGTGAGTTTAAGGAGTTTAATATGTAACTAATGTTTTGTGAATAGATGAATTACAGTTGTTGAACTACTGCAGTGAAAAAGCACAACTCTTTGAGAACAAAGCTGTGCATTACCTTGAGATTTTTCTGTTGCTTGCACTGGTCATTTGCTTCACAGTATGGATGGCATTGCTTCATGTCTGTCTTTAGCTCTATCACTGTGAAGCACGCTGATGGTGCTTTAAATACCTCCTATTATTTTAACCTAGGCCCGCTTATTTTTGCTCACTTTGGTCAGCTACATGTCTGAGCCCAGCCCTGGGATCTTTGTAACCAAAGGTCACTTTTATCTCCTGACTGCTTAGCACCTATAAAATGGGGCTTTGTGACAGCTCACCAAATTGGTAGTGGGTAGATATCTGCCTCAGGGGTCAGATGTCTGGTTTGAGGGGTTTCAGTTGTTTGGGGGCAGGGTTGAGGGGGTGGTGTGGTTTTGGTGGTGTTGTGTCTAGAAGTTTTGCTGGGGTTTGTGTCTTGTTTTGTTGTGTTGTTTTGGGTTTTTTTCCTAAGGTGAGATGTCAAGGATGGAGTAAAACTGCAAATGGATAAATCTTTCCTCAGATAAGTCAGAAATACATTTTGAGAATTTGTCAGCATTTGATAGTATTCCTTTAAAAGGGTAATTCTTATGGCACAGCACCGTTAAACATTTTTAACAGGATGTAGTCAAACTTCTGTTTTTCTTCCTCTTTTCAAAGGTCCATCTTAGCTTCTTACCTGCTGAAAGAGAAACTGAACATTCTTGGCAAGCTGGGATGTTTGCTGAGCTGTGCTGGGTCTGTTGTTCTCATTATCCATTCCCCGAAGTCCGAGAGTGTAACAACTCAGGCTGAGCTTGAAGAGAAGCTTACAAATCCAGGTAGTTTGTTTTTTCATTGATTCATGATTTTCTGATGTTGAGCAGGAACACGCTTGAGGAAGAGGCTTACCACTTCTACCAGGTAGGGAAATTGACTGATGAAGAAATCACAATGTGACAGAGGCAAATCAATGCAGGTTTTGTGTAAGAAAACTATGCCCTGCTCTTCTTAGAACTTGTATTTATTGGGACATGTGTACTTTCGAAAACATGGATACTTTTGAAAACATTATCCTGCACAGCAAGCTCAGAACAATGGCCAGTTGAACTTGTAATTTTATAACATTATGAAAGACTGTATCTTGCTATTTAGAGATGAAAAGTGTAAATCTAGGACCTCAATTTAAGTTGTTTTATACAAAACAAAAAAATACTGTCTTTCTTCTCTCCTTTATTTCTCCATGTTTTTTTAATTAAAAGTTTATACTTAATACCAGTTGTATTCCCAGGTTTATTTGCACAATAAAGGTATGTAGAAATAGGCTGTTGAGACATATGCTGAAATGCCTGTTCTTGCTCACCATCTGCTGGAGGACACATACTGGTACTAATATGTTCCAGGTTCATTTTTATTTTTCTTGCTTAAGCGCCGAACTGCCAACTATTGTTTTTCTTGTATTTGCTTGAAGTGAGAGAAACTCAAGCCTAATAACATCAGCTATTCAAAAAGTCTGCAAACAAAGAAAAGAAAACAAATACCTTAGTCTCGGTTTACCATTTAAATCTGAACAAAGAGCATTGGCTCTGTATTTTTTTAAACTCTAAAGCATGAAATGTTTTTCACTCCTCTTATATGTATACTGATTGTATAATGTAAATAATATGGCCTCATCTTTGTTCTAACTCATGTGCTCACCTTAGTGGGATATCATTTTATGTTGAAGCTCTTTGCTGGATCTATATACTGTGCTTTAATGAGCTGTTTATGAATGAGGTGTTATCTTCTGTCTGTCATAGGAGACTTTAAGGAGTATAGTCCTAATGGAAAAGAGAATAAGATTAAAAAAAACCATCTCAAATCCATTTCAAATGTGCCACAGTGTGTCATTTTCTACATGGTTATTTGTTTTTCCCAAAGAGCATGACATCATCATCAGGTTTTGATGCCAATATTTCTGGAAGCTAAGTGATTTGGGTCTGTCTTCAATAGCAAATCTTAATTGTGATGTATACCTGAAAGTCACTGCTAGGACAGGATTTGCCTGCTAAAATCTTTAGAAGACCTAGAGTTCTCATCTTGATATTTTCTTGTTTTCTTTTTGTTTTCCAGTTTTCGTGGGTTATCTCTGCATAGTGCTGCTAATGCTTCTCCTGCTTATCTTCTGGATAGCTCCAGCTCATGGACCTACTAATATTATGGTTTACATCAGTATTTGCTCTCTGTTGGGCAGTTTCACTGTTCCCAGCACAAAAGGCATTGGGCTGGCTGCTCAAGATATCTTTCACAATAACCCATCAAGTCAAAGGGCTCTGTACCTCTGTCTGGTACTTCTGGCAGTATTAGGATGTAGCATTATCATTCAGTTCAGATACATCAATAAGGCACTGGAGTGTTTTGACTCCTCTGTGTTTGGTGCCATCTACTATGTTGTGTTTACCACTTTAGTCCTGCTGGCTTCGGCCATCCTTTTCAGAGAATGGAGTAACGTAGGAGTCGTAGATTTTTTGGGCATGGCTTGTGGATTCACCACAGTGTCTATTGGAATTGTTCTTATACAAGTCTTCAAGGAATTCAACTTCAATATTGGAGATTTAAACAAACCTAACATGAAGACAGATTAAAATATTTTTGAGGGGAAACTGGATGGCTCAGGGAAGGATGCAGAGCTGTTCATTTCTAGGTCACTATTTCAAATAGGATTCAGGTTGGTAACTACCCTCTGACAATTTGGTGGCCTATGTGAAATGAACTGGAGGCCTCCATCCAGTTTCAAAGGAACAGCTTCCATGTAACCCAGTCAACACAATAAATGACCTTAATTGGAGCTACTAATTGAGTCAGCATAGAGACCAATGTATTTCCTCACTGTAAAAGGTAGTCCATCAGAAGAGCTCTGTGAATATTCTGACAGACCTGTGTGAAAGCTTGTATTGTGACTTCTGAGGCACCATTTCTGTGGGCAGAGGACATCCGTTTCTAATGCACTCAATCTGATACCTTTCATCACAAGTGATGTATACCTTTAAATAAAAGGGGAAAAGTAAGTGGAACAATTTGTGAATCTCAGTATAGCAATGTCTTCACCATCAAGGCTGTGAATTCTCAGACAAACGTTGGATCATGGACTGTAATTTGTTGTTTTTAGTGACTGTCTTGGCAACTTTGTCAGCCATGCGGTGAAGACACAGGGGAGTTGTAAATTGAGTTCTCTATTCAGAGCAGTGGACCCTTAAATATCTTTCACTAATTACTTATCAGCTCATGGTAGTGTCCAGGTATGCATTTTCCTTTGTAACTTACATACATTAAGACATACTGCATTCATCTAAGAGTGTTTAAGTGGGAGCAGGTAGAAAGACTGTGAAGGATGTGGAAATGATGCACAGGCTTACTGCCTACATTGTGGCTTATTTGTAAGCAGCTCAGAACTGTTTCAGTGCCTTTGCAATCAAAAAATACTGCATAATTTTGAATGTATTTGTTTCAGATGGCCTATACTGGTTTAATAATTCAATTTCACTGTCTACAATATCAGACTATATTCAAATTCTAAACATATAAAGCATCTAGAAGGACCATATGTTTTTGGAACAATTTACAAACCTGAACTGAAACCCCTGGATGCCTTGACAGCTTCTGAAAAACTCGTAGTCCTAATGGGAAGAGAAGTGTTGAAATCAGTTCAGCATACCTTTATTTTAGTTTAGTGTCTAAATGCAGGAGACCATTTTGTTGAACAGCTAATAAAAAGTGACCATTAAAAAAAAAAGTAATTTAAAAGAGAACGGAGGATGAGATGTCTCATAGCTCAAAAAAGATGGTCTGATGTTCTTGTAATGTGGGAAAAGGAGGTTAAAGACTGAAAAAACGGAAGCATTCTGAGAGTTTTAGGTAACTGACAGGGACATCCATTCAGATCAGTAATTCACAGACTTTGTGAACACTTCAGTTGTAATATTTTTACAAGTAGTACACACAGCTTAAGCTATGATGCGGATGACTCCAAACAGCTCAGTTTAAACCATTTAGAGAATATTGATATGTTAAAGAATGAAATAGTTAATTTCATGTTCTACTTACATTTGGTCAAAAAGTTGAAATCTTGAAAAGCAGTGAATATTTGTTTCAGGCTAAGTACAAAAATGAGTACAGTGGAACTCAACGTCTCTAGATGAGAACATCTCCCGAGAAAACAGAAAATCCCAAAGTGATTACAAGACAATATTTGAGAAAATTCACAACATTTTATCAAGAAATCATGAATGTAGCTTTGTGGCTGCCTGACAGGACCATGGATGTTGATTAGTGGGGAGTAATACTGTCTGCTCTTGTGATGTTTTTTGTTGACCTGAATTGAGGTTTCCTTAAAACTCAGCCTCCATTTTCATTTAAAATGAATGCTGTAAGCCCTACTAATGGCAGCAATAATTGCAAAAGTGAATCCAAAAGATTTAGCGTTCTGAAGGGACTGTTCTGAGGGAGTAAGAGCCCTACTATGTTATTTGCTAGGTTGTTTTAAAACTCCATATTGCAGGGAATGGCTCTTGAGTTGGCAGAAATGTGCACTGTTACAGGCCAACATGCAGTAACTGGGTATCTTAATGAAATAGAGTAGCTCTAGCAGAGAAAAAACCATCTTCATGGATTTTCAAATATTATGCAAGGTTTTTAGAAAGTCTGAGAATTGTAGATGAGGGTAATTGGGCTATGAAATCTGGTTAAACTAGCATCTGTCCATTATTGATTGGAAGATGGTATCTTGGTTCTCAGCAAACATTCATATTTTGTCATGTTAATTCCCTTTTTTTTTTTTTTGATTGAACCTGGAATTGCACATAGGTTATGAGACCTGTACTAACCTACTTGTTTTAAAACAATGTTATCTGTTTTTTGAAGCAGTCAAGTTGTCTTTTCAAAATTCAGCTGAAAGTTCATGAGTTGTGTGTTGGTTTTGTATTAGCCTTTAATCTCTGAAGACTTCTCTGAAAATCTTTATTGGATTTTCAGAATGGAAATTATTGTGGTCTCATCTTACTCCTTCTTTGGCCATATTTGTTTGTCTCGGTTGGTTTTAAAATTAATTCTTAATTATTTATAAAGTGCCTGTCCTAGTATGTTAGATGCATATGCAAATTATTAGTACATTTTAGATTCAGAATAACTTGATTGCCCTGTCTAAACCTTGTCATTTTCTGCACCACATGAAGTTTACTTGCTAAGTGCTCACTATGCAGAGGAAGAATAAAGTAGCAACCATGTTCTGTAGTCCTCTGACCATTATAACCACTGATAAATATCAGCACAGTTCTTCTCTTCTCCCCAGCTGCTCCTCATCTCTGATGAGCTTTCTAGAAATGTGTAATTAACCTTGATGTTTAAAACAAAGACGTCAAAAGCCAGCACATAAGGTGAAAGAAATTCTCGTGGCCTTGCACATCATTTGTATCTGCAGCCTTTTACTTCTTGAATGCTAAGTAACTGAAAGCTTTATTTTTGCTACTTTGTTCACTGTAGCAGTGTTCTTTCAAGTTCTGCTGTACCTGGATCTGGTTCAGTTCTAACTTTAGAAATGTATTAGCATTTTCTGTTGTCACTGTTGATATGATTCTTTCCCCCTCCATCCCACGCCCTCCTCTTTCCAGGTGTCCTACCTTTTTTAGTCCCATTGCTTTTCTGATTTAAAAGGAGGCACTGATGAAGTTGAATTTTAGCTGTTCCCTCTTTTTTTTCCACCCCTTTGACAAGTAAGCACTTTGAATAAGACAGATATCCGAGTTCCATCATCTCAGGGAGCAAATGTGCATAGTTGTCTCCTGAGCTCTGGCATCCCTCATGGGTCTGCCCTTTTCACATTCTCATTGTGTTATATGCATTGATAGCTGTTAGCCAGATGATTTCAGTTCTGATTCCAAAGTAGAAGTGGGAGAAGCTACCCATGGAAAAACTGGATTCATTACAGTGGTGGAATGCATTTGAATTCTGTTCAGATCCACAGGAAAGGTGTTTCACTCCCTATGTCTGACTTCTGTTATACTTGTCAAACATATTTACTTGGTACTCACTTGAGGATAGCTCTTTGATCATTATCCCTTCAGTGTATGGAGGATTTGCATTTGTCAGTCACAATCTCTATTAGGTGTCAAACACAAAAATCCCTCAAATGTTCAGTAGGAGAATAGAAACCTTTTTGATACAACCAAAAAACCACATTTGTTACACTTAAGTACTTCTGTAAAAAAAGAAAAATACCTAAACAAGTTATCTGCTGTACTGACTTTCCAGGACTCTGTATGTGTAAATAGAGCCTATTTATTAGTGAGCTGCAACTAACATTAATAAGAACCTGTCATACCACAGTTTGACAAGTGAGGCTTCCTATTAATAATATGGATTTTATTTGAACATATGTATTTTTCTGAAGTAACTAGCACTGAAAAATCAAAACACTGGATTAAGTTGTTGAAACAGTAGAAAGTAAGGTTTAGCTTTCATTTTATTTTTTAAAAATACAGGGTTTGTATTTGAAGAAATTTGGGGTTCATAATTAGGGGGTGCTTTAAATGGGAAGTTATTTGCACATTGTACCCCCCCCTCACATTCTTGTTTCATAAAAATAAGACATCAAGGATTCTACTGATATTTCCTGGTTGTCTTGAGATGGTGTAACTACTGAAGTTTTACTGTTAAATCAAGCATTATCAAATGTTTATCTGTTACCTGTTGTCTTTGTAATAATTCTTTGGTGCTATCTATGGGCTTACAGAATGCAGATTTTTAATGTGTACTGTGTTAGGCACCAATGTTGTCAACAGTTATCATTACTAGTGCCCAAGTGTATCAGACAGCAATGTTGAAATGTTATGGATTAAGAAATTTCTTTTTAAAAGCTTCAAATAATTTTGGCTTTTCTTTATTGTTTGTGGTTGGGTTGGGTCCTTCCATGTCCACATCCCTCCCCAGACAGTTGCTCTATAGAGTGGAAAATATTGGAAAAGATTACACAAAAAGGGTATTTTTAAGTCTTTTTTTTTTAACTGTGGAAGTTTTTCTCTTTTTTTCTTTTTTTTTTTTTTTTTTTTTAAGTTTCCCTTTTTTTTTTCCCCAGAATGTAAAAAGTAGTTCTAATGGGATGTAGGGAAAAGGTAGTTGGCAACAAAAATACAATGTCAGGTTTGGTTGCTTCAATGCTCTTGCAATATAGTTACTACAAATTACATAAAACCAGTTTATTTTATTAGCTTCCAAATAATGTATATATAGATTTGTTAATGGCTTACAAGTCAAGCTTACTCTCTTTGCTTTTTAAAAAATAGTTATAGGCATGTTGTATTTGCCTTGTGTAAATTATAAAAGGCTATTTAGTAAGTTTTCTGATAACTAATCTATTTATTAACCTGTATTGTTTTAAAATAAATGATTTATTTCTAGCTCAATGCTTGTTTTGTGACTTGTTTTTAGCAAATGGGGTCAGAGGGAAATCAAGTTTCCTACACACTGCTTTACAGGCTAATTCCAATTCATAAGCCTAAATTATTTCCATTTTATTTCATAAAATAGCAGCTTTGCTTTTAACCAGAATAGCAGATTCGTGCCTGGGTACGGATCAGTTGGCCTACAGAGGGCCAGTTGCCCTATACCAGTATCTACCAGCAGGCTGCAGTCTCAATGTCTTCATTGGACTGAAGTTTGCTCACAGGTACAATGAAGACTTCTGTGGCAAAAATGTTTGCTGGGCCTTGAGTCACTTCAAACTGTGTATTCAGGGTTAACATGTGCTGTGTTCCTGCACTGCTGTACATTGGTTACTTGCTGGAGCTTCTATTCCAAGATTTACTGCTCCACACCTGGGTGTGCATCAAGTGGCAGCAGCTGTAAAGAAGTCTGTGTCACCAGTCTAATTTACTCTCTGTCATAATAGCTCTCTGTAGAAAGAATTGCTTGGAAAACTGCAGTGATTGCCCATCTCATTCTTCATCTGAAATTCCTAGCCCCTCATATCAGGTACTGACAAATACATAACTTAGAGTCTGTCTCTTAGATTTTGGTTGGCTGGGTTGTTTTTTTTTTTAATGGTGGGATTTATGATTAAGAACTGCTCCATTCTGTTCATTTGTGTTTTAGGGGATGCATTGATATTACTGTCAGTCAAAATTCAACGTTATCTTTAAACAAGGAAACTAGCTCCTCAATAATATTAAATGTGTGCAGTGGAAAATATGGGAATGGATTTTTTATTGCAATTTTATTTGTAAAGGTATTTATGATATTAATGCAATGTACAAAGATAGATCAGAAATTTTAAAAGCCTTTCACTTCTGCATGCAGCATCTCTGATTTTTAAGTAGGTAGGATAAGGAGTATGTATGTTGTTAGCAATAAAATTCAGTTATCCTTGTCTTGTGCATGTCAGGAGCCTGGCCTCTAAGGCAGATGTGTGTGGTAAAGGCAGATTGTGGTAAAGGCAGATGTGCCATTTACACCACAGGTGTTGCTGAAAGTCTGGGACATAATCAATCCTGAGCATATTTATCTCAGCAACACAATTAATATATTTATCTCAGCAATGCAGCTCATATTGGAAGAGCATTAAAGACAAAAATCACATTGAGTCAAAAGAAAAAAAAATCCTGTTGATTTTTGTGTGGTTTGTTCTACAAATTTAAGTCTTAAGCGGAGTCCCTTAAGTTCCTTGTGACACTGTAGATGTTGCACAAGTAGACTCATAGATGTGGTTTTTTTTTTGCTTAGCTGTCTTCACAAAACACAGCAGGGAAATGGTCACCAGAGACCCTGTTAACACTTTCTGAGGTACAGGTGTGTTTTTGCCCTTTGCCCTTTTAAATTTTAGAAGATATTTATACACATAGTAGATACTAAGCCCTAAAAAACCCTGTCCACACCAAAGGACCTACATTGACTTCTCTCATTAAATTCCTTGGGCACAGGGATGGTTTGTGCACCTGAATTTCCCTTTGAGAACAGGTTAAATTAGGCAGGTTACCACCATTCTCATGCTTGGAGTTCTTGCCTGACACTCAACCAACATGCCTGAAATACTGTGCTGTTGTAAATTACTCTGAGATAGTTTGAGTATTTTCCATTACTGAGCACAGCCCCTGGCTTTGAAATAAATATTTATTGTGCCAAATTTTGTGCCAAATGCAAAGCATTGAATTTGTACTTTGAACAGTTGCATGTATGTTAAGCAGAACTAGCAGGTGAAAAAACAGAAGAGAGGGGATTAACAGAACAATTGAAGTTCCATAAATGCCTAAACTGCTTTAGAGGTTAATATTAGAGTGAATATTTTCAGATATTTATTCATTATTGTTTTAGCTTGGTTGAGAGGTGTTTTTGAAGGGAGGAGAGCAGAGAGAGACAAGAGTGGAAGGGGAAGGCTAAATTGACTTGCTTCAGACATTACTCTTAACTCAGGAATATGTACACATACACATTATCAGCATTTGGCATGATCACAGGCGCATGAAGTTCTTTAGGTCCTTTAGGCTTTGAACCTAGCTATCAGTACTTAGTTGCTTCTGTTTATACTGTACTGGTTTAGGTGGCACAGGTTTTAATCTTTTAATCCATTTGAGAAATCATTTTCACCAGCTGTTAACTTTTTCAAAGACTTCACAGTTTTGATATCTTTTGGTAAAACACAGAAAAGCCAGTGTCTTACTGTGTCAGTATGAGGTAATTACTGTAAATTGCTTAGCAGTTTTTTTATCTTAAAGTATATTTTTATATATACACACACATATAACACTATTTTGTAAGTGCAAAGTTCATGTCAAGAATATTAGATTAGTTTTATATTGGGGAATGGAATGTTGCCTTAGAGAGTAAAATAGGCCTAACATTTATCCATGTGCTTTGGGTGGTGTGGAAATGTAATTTTTGTGTCAGAACAAGGGACCATTTTTAATGAGATATAACACAGTGGGTAACATGATGAGGAGTGGCTTTGTCATGGGTATTATACAAGGGAAAGCCAAGACTGGTTTTGTTTCCATGTCTTTCCAGGTGTTGCAAAAATGAAGCAGCTACATGTGCAGACTGGGATAATGCCAACACAAATCCTGAGAAGATTAAAAAAATGGGAACTGCTCTCACTAAGGCATGTGACAAAACTGTCTTGAGTTTAAAGAGCTGCATCTTCCATGTGGAGATACCACAGGTATTTTGGCAGTGTTGGTTGTTCGGACTTAATGTTGCAAGGCAGCTGTGTAAAGCACACTCAGAGATAGTCATGAAGAAACCAAAGAACCCTCTGACCCTGATGCTGCTTGTTAGGACTGTCCTTGTGTGTGAGGACAAATATTTATGTAACTGTATTTATCCATTTACTTTGTATGAGATTAAAGCAGTTTGGGTAAAGCAGTGCTGAGAGTGGATGACCTGGATTAAATTGATTCATTAACCATTCCCTTTACCTGGCCCAGTAAAATGTCTCTCTCCCTTATGGCAAACAGCCTGTGTTTATTTCAGCCTGCAAAAGAGAAGGCTTCCAGTACCTGAAGGAAACTTATAGGAAAGATGGGGCAAAACTATTTATGTAGTGACAGTGCAGGAGAAAATGGTATCAAAGTGACAGAAGGTATGTTTTAGATTAGATATTAGAAAAAAATTCCATACTGTGAGGGTGAAGAGGAACTGAAACAGGTTGCCCAGAGAAGTTGTGGATGTCTCATCTCTGGAAGTGGTAAAGGCCGGGCTGGATGGGGCTGGTGTAGTCGAAGGCGTCCCAGGGCAGGGTGGGTTGAAACTGGATGATCTTCAAGGTCCCCTTCCGACCCAAACCATTCTGTGACTTTACGATTTTCTGTGAGTGATAAATCCGCGCAGCGCGGATGCTGGCAGGGGCGGGTGGCGGCAATGACCTACCCGGGCAGCAGGGCGGCCGCAGCGAGCCCGGTGGGTGTGCCGGCACTCAGCCCGGCCGGGGATGGCCGCCGGCCCGGGGAGGGCGGCGCTGCGGGAAGGGCAATGTGACGCGCGGCGGGCGGGGCTGGGGCCGGGCCGCGCCCCTTCCGGCGGCCGCTGCCGGAACCGCGGAGCGGAGGGGGCGGACGGGTCCGGGACGCCGCCTCGCCTTGCGCTGCCGCTGCCGGTCCCTCCCGCCCCGTCCTGTCCCGTCCCCTCATGGCGCTAGAGCGGACGGGCACCGGCCCCTCCCGCCGCCCGCTCCGGCCTCCCCCGCCCCCGTCTCCTCTTGGTCGGCCGCTCCCGGCGGGCATGTGAGCGGGGCCGTGACTGCAGGTAACGGCGGGAGAGGCGGGAGGGGGCCCGCGGGGCCGGGGGAGGCGGCGCTGCTTCCCCGCGGAGCGCTCGGCGCCGGGCCCGCGGTGAGAGCCGAGCGCTGCGGGTGAGAGCGGGCGGGCCGGGGGCGCGGGGCTCTGGGCCTTGAGCCTGGCTGTTCGTGCCCAAGGGTGGTTTATCCGTAGTGGGAACTTGTGCTTTGGTCTGAGAGGGCCGAGGTTAAAAGCTCCAAATCGGGCTGTTTGTGGGGCTCTCCCACCGAGCAGGGGGATCCAGGCACAGTGTGCTGGCTCTGCCCGTGCTGGGGTGCGTGTGGTTAACCGGGGAGATAAATAGTTTGTCTTCGGTTTGGTCCAGGGTTGAATTGTCCCAGGTTGAGTCTTGTGCAGCCTGCTTCCAGAGCACCTTCAGAACTTCAGAGTCCTGGTGCATCATTTTGACATGGAAAAAGTGGTCGTAGCTTTGCATTTTAGTTCATTGTAGCTGACGTGGAGAGGTTTAGATTGGACATTAGGGGTAATTTCTTCATAGACAGGGTGATGAGATGTTGGAGTGGTTGACCAGGGAGGTACCTGGTGGAGTCACTGTCCTCGGAGCTGTGTAAGAAAAGACTGGACATGGCACTTAGTGCCAAGGTCTGTTGACATAGTGGTGGTTGGGTTATGGGTGTGACTCCATCTGACAGTCTAGTCTTTTCAGCCTAGTTGATTCTGTGATTCAGAGTGAAGTTTTTTGTTCATTCATACACTGTGTGATATTGCCTGGATCTAAGTCCTTCATCGATGTTTTTCTCTAATGTTTTTAAAGTAGTCAACTTTCTCTATTTCACTACAATGTCTTTAACATTGTTTGTACTGAAAACGTGATAAATGTAAGTCACTGTGGTTCTATCTTAATGCCTTTTATACAGTTAGTGCCTTGTATACAGTTAGGGTTTTTCCCCTCGGAAGGTAACAGCTTCATCGATAGAAAATTATTCCATAAGGTTTCGTTGGTATCATTGTATTTAGAATTCAGTGTCACACTAGTTCTGCTGTTGTCAAAGTACTTCATTCTGATGATAAAGTCCTGGTGACAAGAAAGCAGGTTATATCAGTTGTCAGTCGTGTCAAAAGAGTGGCTGTGACTAATGTATAGATCGGACTTTACCTTCCTGGATTATCTTAAATTTGAAACTACCCATATAAAATACCAAAGGTGGAACTTCAGTGACCCTGTGCTGGTTATTCCTCCCACAAGAGTGGAACTCGTGCCACGTATAGCAAAGATGAGGCAAGTCTTATCTTTAGTCTATTTTGATAGCTTTCCCTGAAAACAGTCAATGCAGTATCAGTTGCAAAGCACTGCCTGTAGTTTGTATTCAGTTAATGAATAACACTGCTAGAGTGAAGATACTTTTTAGCTTCATGTGGAAGTGCTTTAATTAAAGGTCAGTGTTTTTTAAATAACTATAAGTAGCACATGCAAAGAAAAGGTTTTTAATGTGGATTTTTTTGTTTCCTCCTAGTTTCATAAGATGAAGTGCTTGTTGCTTTTGGTTTATAAATAGAAATCTGCTGTAAAGTATTAATTTTCCCCTTAGTTTATCTAAACCTTTTAAAATGGAGAGCTGTAGGGTAGTTGATGTATGTTTTGCTTTCTGAGCATGTGATAGTGCCTCTAACATTATATATATATGCATATATATAGCATAAATATGATTTTAGTTTGCCTGTGTGTAATATGTAAATAATTATGTGTGTAAGTTTAGGCAATCTTTAACTTTGGCAGAGCTGGAAAACTGTACCCTGTGTTGGGGCAAATGTGCAGTACAAAACTGAACATATTTCAGTTTTGTAAACAGTGTGTACAGAATCTGCAGGTGCTGTGTGCATCCATCCTGGCCTTTTAAAGGTGCACATGACTAAGGTTTGAACTCTTTTATCCTGATACTCTGTTGTGTCTGTCCTTCAATGTTCTCTCTGTACCTCTGTTTAAAAGATATGTTTGTGAGTGGAAGGATCGTGACTGAGGAAGGCTTGCATTTAATATTTAGGTACATTTGGGGGGTATATTTAGTAATCTAAGATCATTTCTGTGTTCATATTCCCCACTGCCCCAGCATTCTCTCTTCCAAAGGAGGGCTGCAAAGGTGGTGAAGGGGGTAGAGGGGAAGCTGTATAAGGAGCAGCTGAGGCCACTTGGTCTGCTCAGCCTGGAGAAAAGGGGACTGAGGGCAGACCTCATCAGGGTCTGCAGCTTCCTGATGAGGGGAAGCAGACGGACAGGCACTGGTCTCTTCTCTCTGGTGGCCAGTGACAGGACCCAAGGGGCTGGCCTGAAGCTGTGTCAGGGAAGGTTTGGGTTAGATATTACACAAATGATCCTCACTCAGAGGGTGGTTGGCACTGGAACAGCTCCCCAGGGCAGTGTCACAGCAGCAGCCTGACAGAGTTTAAACCTGTGTGTGTTCAGGCACTGGGTGGGTTTCTTGGGGCTGTCCCTGCCCTTGATGATCCTTGTGGGTTCCTTTCAACTCAGCATATTCTGTGATTCTGTATGAACATCCTCTGAAAACTCACCATATCAAAGCCAATAATTAAAACTTGATATTATTTATCTTGCAATAGAAGTGCCTTAACACTTTAGTTACAGAATGATTCTGATAGAATTAGAAAAGTATTTCAGTTCAACTTTAATATGATACCTTCCAAAGAATAACTTAGATCACAGGTTAGTTTCTTTGATTTGTGAAGTGAAAAACAAAAGGATGAAATAACTATGGCTTCAGGCAAGCTGTATCTAAGGAAGATCAAATCTAAAATCACACTGATTTGTTATTCAAAACATTCTGAAATTCAAATATTCAAAATATTCTGAAACAAAATCTTCTTCCTTTTTAAAGCATAGATTGGACATGGTCTTGCGTGTCATGCGTGAAAATTAAATTGCCTTGAAATAATGGACATAATATTTTTGCCAAATTCTTAGCATGCCAATTAATGCTATTTTTGATTTCTGTTTTAGAAACCTAACTTCCAAATACTTAAGAAGTGAATGCCTCTGGATTTCTGAACAAAATTGGTATGTATAATGAGCTGTCTACAGGCTCATCACCAAACATTTGGATTTCTGTTTTGTTAGGGAATGTTTGTTTCATGTAGTTTTATGCTTGTGGAAGGGAAGTGAACACATAACAGCCAACATGAGACATAATAGTCAGTGTGTATTTGTTAAAGCAATTTGTTGATTCAACCTCCTTTTCTTCCCTGACAAGCTTTATGGCTAGAAGGGCATTAAACAGGTGCTTAATTCCAATGTTAGAAACGTAAAACTCAAGCAGAATTGACAGTAAAATACCATAGAACAGTTAAAAAGATGCAGAATGGCTGTACCTAGAGTATTATTGTCTTGTCAAAGCAGGCTTTTGTTCAAAAATCTTCCATCATGTCTGAATCTTTGGCTGTTTAATGTTATTGATCTGGCTCAAAAGACAGAGAAATAATCAGTAACATTGGGCAGGGAAGGATTGCCAGTGTGTAACCTTGGTTGAATGTTTTCAGGAAACATTTCTAAAAAAAGAAATGTTTTTTAATAGGAGTAAGTGGAAGATATTGCACCCAGGCAGGAGTAATTTGCTATACAAGTGCAGGAGGTTATACCAATAGAGAAGTTGAAAATGACTCAACAGTAGGTGACTGCAGAAAAAGGGCTCAAAACCCCACCTGATTTGGATGTTTAAAAAGAAATACAGTCTACCACTTATTGCAGAAGTGATAATAACTCAAGCTGAAGTACTATATACAGCTTTGGAAATTGCACTTGAAAAAAGCTTTTGGGAAAGGACCCAGAGGGTGGCACAGCAGGAGACACCTGCAGGGTAACGTTGATATGTGGATTCAAAGATAAAGGGACTTGTATCTTTTTCCAGCAGTGGGATTTGGTAGTAAAAGTGAAGATGATCAGATAATGAGAGTTCCTAATGGCATCACAGCATGGCTGCCACGTTTGTGAAGTTTCCTTTACAAGAATTTTGTGGGAGAAGCTTGGCTGAATTATCTATAATGAGGAGCAGCAGTGAATTATGTAGCAGATGGCAGAGGGTTGAAGTAAATGGCCTGTTAAGGTCATTTTTTTGCTTAATGACATCATCCTGATCATAGCTGAAAAGAGCAGTTTTTAAAAAAGATTCTTGAATTTAAATAATGTAGTGTATATTTAGATTGTTTCTTGTAAGTCTTTTATTAACTCTAGAGGGCTTGTGGCTGAGTAAGCAAAGTTGGAACAATGCACCATGTCTGCCTTTCCCAGCTCTTATTATTGCTTCCATACAATGTACAGCTTGTGGAAGTGATACTAATTTTCTTTGGGCCGGTAACTCCCATATTCTTACTTATGCTTATCTGCTTTTAAATGTGAAATATTACTTCTTATTACACCACTTTTAATGTTTCTGAATATTTAGAGAGGTCACTTGCTGCAATAAATGTAACATCTTTGGAGCACTGTGTTTGTGCTGCTTTTGAGAGAAAACGACTTCTGAGCAAAGAGGCAAAGAGCTGTTATCCTGTGTTTTAGACCAGAGAGTCTGTATCTTGCTAGCATTTCTGATACATTTGGTTACATCTTGAAAATAAGCAAAATAACTTTGTGGCTAATCTGGATTTGCTTATCTCCCACAGGTTTTTTTTTCACATTCCGAGTTTCTGCATCGATCTGTGTCTGATAACCTTCAAACGCAGCTCCCTGTGTGATCTGTCATTGCACTGTTGCACACTGAGAGTTCTGACTCGTGACACCAGCACATCCACGGGCAATTCATTAACGAGTGGCTCTCGGAGGCATGGTGGGTGTTGCAGTTTCTGTGAATAGGAGAGTCTCAGCCCTTCTTTACTTCTCTGAAGTAAAGCAGAAGCAGGAAACCAATACGCCTCCATGACACTGCTGGTCTTGAGTGGATGAAGTGTTCTATGTGTTAAAATCAGCTGTGAACTTGATTAGAGGACCTTTGCAGCACTGCACAACTGCCAGCTTTATTTAACTCCTACATTTTCTGGCTTTTCTCTGTTTATAACCCAGTAGTGGCCCTGGCTGCTGGAATGCAACAGTTTTGGCATGTCCCAAGGCAGAAACATGGGAGGTGTTATTTATTCCAGAACTCCTCATTTCATGGCATTTTCTCATGCCCATAGATAATTTTTCTTGATTATATTTATAAGCATGCATTAGTTCTTCTTTCAGTAAGTCTTAGGGTTAGAATTAAAGTCCTGATTTCCTAAATTGTAAACCTTCCAGTGCCTGGTACTGCTTTGACCTTCCACATGTCAGTTCTGCACATGCAAATAATATCTGCTCTATACAAAGGGAACCAGATCTCTTCAGAGGGATGCTGGGTCCACCATGACTGTGTGACATGTGTCTGCAACTGTAGACATCTGAATAAACCTTAGGTGGAAATAAGGCAGTCCAGCCAGAGTAACAATGGGACTGGCTGTGTCTGTGAGGACAAATAAATGTGATGGGAAGAGCTAGCAGTAATTTGTCTGAATTTGTGCAATTTAAGTGGTTGAGATTTGAGTTGTTTACAAGGTTAACAAAGTGGTTGACAGGGCACTTGAGCATATTTGGGACATGGGGTAAAGTAGAAATACTAGCTTTGAAGTGTAGCATTCTTTTCAAGTCTAAATTCATAAAATTACCTGTGAGCACACAAGGTTCTTCATTCTTCTGCAATCACATTTTTCCTCTGCTGCAAAGAAAAGCAGCCTGTGCTTTTCCCTTGTTTCTGGAATGCAGTGGGTGGAAAGTGTCAGGATGGGACTAACTGATGCTCTTTTCCTCTGTCAGTGTAGGTGAAGGTATGAAAGCCAGGGAGAGAAGGGAAAAAAAAAAAAAGTGGCTCTGCCAATATGGAGAGTTCTCTTTTAGTAAAAAGCTACACCAGTGAAAATAATCCCATTAATAATATAGCTAAAGTAGCAACTGTTGATAAAACTGGTAAAGCATAAAGCTTAGCAAAACCAGCCCCTCCTCCCCCAGGTGATTGCTGTACCACTGTCACATTTTGCACCAGCTGGAGTTGGAAGAACATTCTTAGCTCGATTACCTGAACAGAGTGCCTTACACCTGCTACAACAGATGGTGCAGAGAGCAGCCACAAAATCTTATGTCTTTTCCTTGCATTAAAAAACTTCTTCAAGGGACTGAAAATCCTGTTTGAATTTAAAACCAGGATGATATTTTATGGAGTTGGTGAAGTGGCTGGGTTTGGTCTGTCTCACACACTGATGAATTGTCTTTCTTGGTTTTATTTGTTAGGTGATTTTATGTCATGCAAGAATCTAGTTTATTTTTAAAAGTTTATAGAAAGTGAAAGCACTCTCTTGTAGGTCATTTACTTAGTTTCTCCTACAAAATAAGATATTAAAAATTTCTGTGCAAGGATTAAGGGAAGTGGATTTGAGAATTTTGAGCTGTGGCTCATACAGCATTTTGAGTATTGCTCTGTTGAGTGCTTATTGTTTTCCTCTATCTTTTCACAGCCTAACTGGATGCAAGTAAGAGGATCTGTGCTCAGTTTTAATGCTAACCTACTAGTAGCTCTCTATTACATTTTCCTAGAGGTATAGCAAATTAATCAAAGTTGAAAGCATAAAAGTACAGGGAAAAGTAATATTGAAAGGTGCTTCATACAAGTATGGGGAACTGTGTAAAATAATTTAACGAAAGACTTATTTCTTGCCAGATTTTCCTGTTCAAGAGTAATTGCATGTGAATGCATGTGAGGTTTGTTTGTTTATGAAAATGGCTATATGATTGAACGCCCTTCTAATAGTGTCTTTCATTTTTCTAGGGAGTTCGTATGGAAGAAATGCTGCTGCGACTGTCAAACTCTGTTACAGACTGATTTCAATGTAAGTCATTTTTTGGTCAGTATCATGGTGTGCCAGACACAGATTTGCATACTCAATGAAAAGAAAAATAAATTACATATTTGTAAAATGTCCCTAATGTTTCTCAAGGAATTTTTGTTTGGGTTTCAGTTTTTATATACCAGGTCAGAAACTCTTCCTTCTCTGTGTTCAGACTTATTAGTTACTCATCCTTAGTGCAAGCTTATACATGCTTCAGATTGCCCTTTTTTTTTTTTTTTTGTTAACCACTCCTTGCAGAAGCCACTTGCAGGAGAACCAGTCACATGAGCTGTTGAGGATTTTCCTATGCAGCACCTTTTTCTGCCAGCTTAAATCTAATGTGATTATTTTTCTCATGTTTCAGTGTTGCATCATTTTTTGTTGAGTATCAGAAGCTCTACTCCTCGTTGATCAATGTGACAGTGTTCAGTAGTTTACGAGATGAGCCAAACTCGTGGGAAGTATGACTTCTGTATTGGTCTGGTGTTGGCCATGAGTTCCAGCATTTTCATTGGAGGAAGTTTCATCCTGAAAAAGAAAGGTCTGCTCCGGTTAGCCAGGAAAGGCTCCATGAGAGCAGGTAAATACATACATTTTTTAACAAATTGCTGATGTTTAGATTTTGCTGTTTAACAGAAGGTTGCTTCTGTTCATTACTTCATCAAACTAATGATCTTGTTTTGACGTCCTTGGGTTTTTGTTACATGTGTATGAAACCTAAAACAGAGCCAGTGAGCTTTTTCTGTGGTGTCAGATACCCTTAACTCTGTGTGTGACACATGCTATTTAATGCATATGTAATGCCCTCTGGGGACACTTGTCAAAGGATTCCTTTGTACATCAGTTAAGTCTAAATTGTACTTGCAAATTGCAAGCAGCACTCTTAACTATGTCTGTGCTTCTGAATGAGTGAATTTAAGAGAATTTTAACCATGTTTGGGCGTCAGAAGATTGTTTTAGAAAACTAAAAGTCACGTGCAGTAACTGAGTGTGATGAGTAGTGCACCTGAAGGGTTCATACTGGAAGCAATGCTATTAAATATCCTCATCAGTGACACAGACTGAGTGTGCTGGCAGCAGGGCTGTGGGCCACACTGAGCTGAGGGGGGCACTTGATGCTCTAAAGCGAAGGAAGTGGCATCCAGAGGGACCTGCATGGGCTTGGGGAGTGGGTCTGTGCAAACCTCAGGAGGCTCAACAGGAACCAGAGCAAGGTGCTGCAGCTGGGTCAGGCCGAGCTCCATGATCAACACAGCCTGGGGGATGGACAGATGGAGAGCAGCCCTGCCCAGAAGGGCTTGGACATGCTGCTACATGAGAGGCTGGATGTGACCCAGCAATGTGCACTCACAGCCCAGAAAGCCAAACATGTCCAAATCAGGTGTGACCAGCAGGGCAAGGGAGGGAATTCTGCCCCTCTGCTCTGGTGAGAGCCCACCTAGAGTGCTGCATCCAGCTCCAGGATCCCCAGCATGGGAAGAATATGGACATGTTGGAGCAAGTCCAGAGAAGGGCCATGAGAATGATCAAGGGACAGAACACTTCTGAGGATAGGCTGACAGAGTTGGGATTGTTAAACCTGGAGAAGAAAAGGGTCTTGGGACACCTTATAGCACCTTCCAGTACCTAAAGGGGACTTATAAAAAGGACAGAGAGATGAGATTTGGTTTTGGTTTGGTTTTGACCTGGGCCTGTATTGACAGGACAAGGGGCAATGGTTTTAAATTGAAAGAAGATAAAATTAGGTAGGATAGTTGTACCATCCTCAGATGATTCAGAGGGTTGACTGAATATTTTTGTTCAGTACCTGTCATCTTTGCTTCTAAAAGATGGTTGATCTTGAGATACATAATTCATGCACCCTGGTTTGGAATGAGAAAATGTGGCACTTGCACATGTAATCAACCACATATAAACCATGTACAATTTCTGCAGAGCAGCAGTCTTGGTAAGAGACACATAACTTGGCTTTTCATGTAATTTCAGTGATTTGAAAGAACCATGTTTCTCAGGGTAATGCAGATACAATCATCAGTGCCATTTCTAGCAGAAGTGAAATAACTGGTTGTAGGAGGCACAGGCACATCAGAAACTGAAGATGCTTTGATTGCAACCCTTTTACCTAGAGAGCCTAGGTACCAAAAGGCTGCTCATGTTTTTAAGGGCATGGGTTGCAAAAATTATTTTAAGTCATGGCAGTGTTATAAGTGACAGGGTGTCAACATTTTTAGTGGAATAGCCAATGTTCTTTCAATTTTAGGTCAAGGCGGTCATGCATACCTTAAGGAATGGCTGTGGTGGGCTGGACTTCTTTCAAGTAAGTATCAAAAATTATTCATCTAGGTGTCAAAAATACAATCTGCATTATATAATTTTAATAAATAACTATGCCACAGATGGCAGCATGGTTACAAAAAAGGGAAAGAGATTGGGTTTCTGCAATACATAGTAATGTCACCTGGTGATTTGATGGATGCAGTTCAGATTTTAATGTAACTTCTCTTACATCAGAAGCTCTTCCTTTAATGTAACTGCCCTCTTTGTGCAGTGGAACTAGGCAGACATTGGTTTTGTCTTTGCTACCCATATGCATTCTGGTTTTTGTCTTAGCAGAGAAGTGCTTAGATAGATAAGATTTTTTGAAGGGAAGCATATTTTGGGATTATGCCTGTTTTCTTAATTTTTTTCATTGCTTGAACTCTCAAGTTACTGTGTGTATTCAGGTAACTGGCTTACTGTATGTGCTGTGCTATATCTGCTGTTGCAGATTTCTCCATGCAGAACTTCATGAGTCAAGCTGGCAGGCTGGGGAGCTACAGCACAGACACTAAAATAAAACACCTTCTGATTTGATAAAATTAATTTTAATACCTGTTGTATGTAGTTCCACAGCCTGCTTTTAAAATTTAATAGTGGGGATGAGGGGCAGGGGTGTGTTCTGCTAGTGCTGTTAGCTGAATGCTGTCATTAGAATTTTGCATTGTTCCCTTGCTGCATGTTTGTGTGTGCATGAACACTGTGGGCACTTCCTTGCCCTGATCAGAGGTTTGCTGCATGAGCCTGACTCCTGGGTTTTAATTGCTGTTCCTCTGCAGTGGGAGCTGGAGAAGTAGCGAACTTTGCTGCCTATGCTTTTGCACCAGCTACGTTAGTGACTCCTCTGGGAGCTCTCAGTGTTCTTGTAAGGTAAGAAACACTAACAGAAAGCAGGGTGACTTGAGACAGAAAAGTAAAATATTTCTTTAGAAATCTGTCACTGAACTATGCTGTAATAAATGCACTCTTCACAACAGAGTGCTTATAAACATCAGGAGTAACTTTTAAGTTTCTCCAAATACATAGTGGCTATGATACAAAAGGGTTCTAGCAATGCATCTACATGAACATCTCTGGAAAAAGCTATTGTCTTCTACATTTCAAAAATATGGTGATCACAGCAGAGCAGTGTTTTCATTCCTAAGTAAAGATTTTTGTCATAGTGAAATTATTTTTGCAAGTTCTTAGATATCACATATTTTTGGCAGGCAACATAAAAAAGGGGTTCTGGGCAGAGATGCCAAATACTAACAGGTAGTTCTGTCCACAGCAAGTATCTCAAGATAGAAAATAGCTATTTTTAAGCTGCAGGTTGTATATGCAACTGACTTGTACAGTCAAAACAATCTGTAACTTGATGAGAAAATAATTATTACTAATCCCATATTTGTTGATGCCTTTTTTATTTCTTAGTGCCATTCTGTCATCCTTCTTTTTAAATGAAAAACTTAATTTACATGGAAAAATAGGATGTTTGTTAAGTATACTGGGATCAACTGTGATGGTAATTCATGCTCCACAAGAGGAAGAGGTAGAAACTTTGGATGAAATGTCTCACAAACTAGGTGATCCAGGTAAGAAAAATACTGGCTTGAGCTGTACACAGCCCATCATTTCTTCATTTTATAGTTTCATTACTGCTGCTTTCAAGTTCCAGGAAGATGGCCTGTGTCTGCTTCATGTAGACAAGTCCAAATGAAGCAGAGATTTGAATTCTGTAACATAATTCTATAGGGAGCTTTGCATGATGGCAAGATGAACTTGTCTGGCCTTGAATAAAGTGCCTTGATGGCAACCACTGACGTGATGGTTTAAACAAATGCAGCAGCACAGGTGGATAAACAAAATTTCTATAAATTTTGCTTGAAGTGTGTCATCTCTAAGCCCAACTTTGAGCTGTCCTTAAAGTGAAAAGGTAGGTGTTGTGGTACCTTCTGAGAAGTAAAGTCTTAGAGATGAGCTGCTATGCCTATGTGGAAGATGAGGCACTCACAAATGCACATGTGCAAAATACTGTTTATACAAAGGCAATTCTCATCTTAAACATGAGGAAATAGCACAGAGATTAAAAAGTTGTTCTTAAGGAATGATGTAATTGTTGGAAATCTGCTGATGAATACAGCCACCTGCCAAAATGTATCATCTCCTAAAAAAGACTCAGTTCAGACTCAGGCCTGTGTCCAGTGGCATCTACACCTCAGAGTTTGGGTGTAAGGCAGTTTAGCAATCTAATCCTGTAGTAGTCTTGCCAATAGACTGGTAAAGGTAATACAGCATGCCTAAGGTACAGCCTTTGTTTTGGCTTGCTCACTTTGAAATCATCTAAACTGTGATGCTGGAGGAATAATGAGAAGCATCCTGAACTCTTCTGTTTAAGCTGAGTCGGTCCCATTGTTAATTAGTGTTTTCTCTGTACCTCTAAGATAAATACTTCTGAAAAATACTTCTGATAAATAGAGTCCATAAGTAACAATTGTGTCCATTAGTGTCTATAAATAACAAGATTTTTTTTTTTTTCCCCTCCAACCACAGGTTTTGTGGTGTTCGCAACGCTCGTTGTCATTGTGTCTTTAATTCTAATCTGCGTGGTGGGACCTCGCCATGGACAGACCAACATTCTCGTGTACATAACAATTTGCTCTGTAATTGGAGCCTTATCAGTCTCCTGTGTCAAAGGTCTGGGCATTGCTATAAAGGAACTTTTTGCAGGAAAACCAGTGCTGAAGCATCCATTGTCTTGGATTCTGCTGCTAAGCCTTACTGTCTGTGTGAGCACGCAGATCAACTATTTGAACAGGGCTCTGGATATATTCAACACTTCAATAGTGACTCCGATATATTATGTAATCTTCACCACATCTGTTTTAACTTGTTCTGCCATCCTCTTCAAGGAATGGCAGCACATGGCGGCTGATGACATTATTGGCACCTTCAGTGGCTTCCTGACTATTATTGTGGGGATCTTTTTATTGCATGCCTTCAAAGATGTTAACTTCACCCTAGCAAACCTGCCCCTCTCTCTGCGGAAGGATGACAGAGCAGCCAATGGCACTTTGCTGAGCACATATGACAGCTTTAATGATGATGAAGAAAGTTCTGCCTGCCTAGGTGAAATGCAATCCACTGAGAGTCTCTCAGCCAGAAGGAATGGAAGCCTGTCAGCTTTCTGAAAATATCTACGTGTTACTTAAGAAAAGAACAATTCTGTAACCCTGGATTTTTTTTTTTTTCCTGCTGTGAAATGTCTGAGCTTGTCTGGAAAGTCATGTACTTTTTAACAGTATGTGTAGACAATCGTTGATTTTTGAGTTTGATTCGTTTGGATAAAGAACACTGAAATGTTTTTTATTTGCCTTACTTTTACTTTAAAAAGTACTAAAATGACCTCAGACCACAATTGGTTTTGTTGCTTAAGTTATGTGTAAATACTTTCATTTCATTCTTCTGTTTTTAAGATGTATTGCACTAATTACAATTTTATCAAAAATAAATGGCTTTATTTCTGCATTGGTGGTAAAAAGGTTGCAGGAAACCTGAATCCTTTGTACCTGTGCCCATGGAGTGACTGTAACCATACTGAAACAGGAGCTGCAGGATACTCCTGTCCCAGTTTGTAAAGAGAAAAGGGAAGGCTACAACCAAGCACAACTGCTCTTTTGAAAATACTGGTTAGGTAAAGCTGTATGCAAAACTTGCTGGATTTGCATCAAAAAACCCAACTTGACCAAATCAGAGTAACAGGCTGGCAGAAAGAGGAAGGCAGGAGCTTGTGTTCTGCATGGATAGGCGAGATGGTAGCTCCTGCTATGGCAGTTTAAGCAGAAGGAAGGATTTGAATCATTACTAGTAGCCAGAGAAGCTGCTCCCTCTTCTGTAACAGAGGTCAGGTTTTGTCTGTGCTGCACCACACTGCGCTGGCTCTGCAGGCCTGTTCTGTGTTCCTGATGTTACAGCTTGAACTCAGAGAATTGCTGTTTTGTTTGCTGTGACCCTGACATTTTCAAAAATATCCAAAATAATGAAAAATTAATAACATTACTTCAAAAAAAAGGGGGGGAGGGGTGAGGCAGGTAGGTGGTAATTCACTTTACTAAAGGCAGAAAATAAAAATTAGGGAAAAAGGTTTTATAAGAATTTCCTACTATGCATGTGAAAGTTGGAAATACTTGGGACAGAGACTAATAGTTATGCTCAATATTGCCAGGTTTAGTGCTCAGTGTTTAAGAGAAATTAAGATTTTTTTCCTAGGACAGAAAAACCCCAAGTTACCACCTGTGAAACAAAATACTGCTGCCTTCCTTATGTGTCATAACATACAGGAAGGGTGAAGGTGTCAAACAAGAAAAACGTTTTTGCTCAGAGTTAATTGGAAATGGAAAAGTTACACCTTTTGTGCACCTTGTTGCATTTTTCCTTTTAGGTAGGAAAGGTTATACTAAGCAAAGAATATTTAGCGCCTATCACGTCTATAATGCTTTTTGAAAAATAATAAAAATTTACATTATAAAAATGGGAAACAAACATCTCCTAGGAGTAATGTCTGAATTGTCTTAAACTTTTTTTCCCCTCAGTGATCACAAAATATGTATTTAATAGCAGTTTTAAGATGTTAAGGGACCAATTCTCTTACTGCTGAAAGTTAACTGGTAAGAATTAGAAATGATTCACATAATGATTAGTTCTTTTTAAATAGTTCTTAAACAAAATCAGGCTTTATTAATTAACCATTTCCGCGCCAGTGCCGAGCCAAAATCTCAAGTGTGTGAGACATCCTTAAACCAATGATGATGTCAACAAATTAGGAAAGTTGTTCATTTGCTTAACTGGAAGCACAGGGAAGCAGCTGGCTGACCAAAAGTGTTCTGTGAACTAAAAGACTGTTTCTTAAAGAAAATCATCTGTAAAGCACCTTGTAAAAGAAATCCTGCAATGAGCTGGTGAACAAAGCACGAGTGCTTCTGACTCGTGTCTCCCACACACCGGGCAGCCTTGTGTGCACTCTCACCACGACAGACACCACTCCAGAATGGCAGCTCTCAAGCACAGATGTCCTGGGGAAACCTGGGATTGTGGAAAATTGCTGATAGATTGCCTGGAAAATATCCATAATGTTTTGCTGAGGAAATTTCCAGTTAATTTCTTTCCTCAAAATCAAGTTCTCTGCCACTCCAATACCTGTATGTTCCTCACTTCCTATGTACTTCTTCTGTCAAATGCTCATTTCTACCCCCTGTGAGTCAATTCCATGACTGTGAAGCACCTGGAAAGAGCTGAGCAGGAGAAAAGATGTGCTGTAACCTAGCCCTGAACTACTAAGGGGGAAGGAAGAAAAACAGGTTTTCAAAGGAATGCATTCTTGGTTTCACACTATGGGTTAGAAACACTGACCAAGTAACATCTCCACAAATCCACATCCTGGGTAAAGCGTGTAATTATCTGTTTGTGTCTGTTTTGGCCATCCTCATGTCTTGGTTAGGGCTGATCCCAGAGCCAGCTGACAGGATCCTGGAGTAAGCAAGCAGGAGTTACTGCTTTTGGCTGAATGGTTTGCTTTAAAATTCAACTTCTATAGTTGCAAAGTTTTCCAATTTTACTGATGCAGTGTTTGCATTATACAGCAAATGTAATTTAACAAATACTTTCCATAATAAATAATTATTAACATCATTAGAGTTTATGTACTGGGATAGATTATATCTGATCACTGTAGTCAAGATTCTTGTAAACAAGAATTCCTCATCACTTGTAAACGTGTTTGGGTACACAGGTATAGATTGCAAACCAAAATATAAACTGTGTTAGAAGCTCTCATTAGGAAAAGGCAAACAGTCCCCATTCTAATCAATCAAACTTTCACCTTTTAAAAATATTAGAATCCTGTAAATCACCTTCATGTTAAATAACTTTGAAACAAACACTTTAAATAACCTTCATTTCCATAATTACTGATCTCTGAGAATAGATTTGCAAAGAGGAAAAAGAATCAACTGACTAGAAAATTATTCACAAAGCACCAGCAGAGTTTGTTTTGTTGTTTTTTCTGTTTTTTTTTTTTTAATAAAGGCAAATTAAGCAATTAAGGCTCTAATACAAACAATTATGCATTGATTTCTAAAATTTTTTTCTACAGAACCGTTTTTTACCCTCCACAGCCATTATTTCTATAGCTTCAAGGGAAAATGATACCAGTCCAGTCTAAAATGGTCACCTCGGACAGGAATGCAAAGAGGTTTCAAAAATCTTACAGGCTTTTAATCAAAGTGTATAAAATTTTAGTCTAGAAAAATAAGTATGGATTGTATACAGTTACTGTGCTTGGAAACTGGAGAGAACAGTGTGCCACTCAAATGGCACAGGCATACTGAAAAATGCAGGTGAGACTATTCTTCAAAACTGTTGGTGTGGGTTTTGTTTCTTGCTTTGTTTCTCACACTTTTAGCCTAAAGAGGTGCAAGAAGTATTGTTAGGTGAGAATCTAGTTGCTGGCAAGGGACTGATGAATTGGTGGCTGGAAGCAGCGCACGTGTTCCACGGGTGTGCTCTCTCCATCGCCGGACTTCAAATATTTGTCCAAAATAGCAATTATTTCATCATTCAGAATCTGGAACTTGCGAATTCTCTCAACCATTTTCTTCAAAGGCTGCAAACATCAAACAAACAGACACAGGAATTAGCTCTGGATATGAAAAGCCTTAGCCAGAAAGCCAGCAAATGCTGTTACCTCATCTCTCCCAGCAATGTTACAAATATTTCCCTTGCACTGCTAAGCCAGTGGAAATAGAAAGTGCATTTTGGTTTTTTACAGTGCTGCTTTGGGTGCAGAGAAGCTCAATTTACAGCAGCCTTGTCATTTTGAGAATGAGCATATATAGGATGGAAGGCATTAAGAAAATCTCATATATTTGTGACATCAGAATTCTGCTTGACCAGACTTCCAACTCCAGCCTTAATCTTTTGTTTCTGAAAATCCTGGTGCCCCCATTTTCAGCAATTCATTCTAAAGAAAGGGTTGCCATATCTATGCTGCATCCGAGTACAAACAGCTCTGAGTTGTTGTCTTTATTACTAAAGCAAATACTGATGTTTTCAACTCACCACATTCTTGATAACCTCATCTTTGCCATCGTGCTTTTGGACTTTCAACAGGTGGTAGCAGAAATCCAACACGTCAAAGCGCCGCTGCTGTCCCAAAAGCACGATGATCATACATCCAGCCCAGTGCAAGCCATCCCCAAAGCACTGCCTGCAACAGGAAACACCACAGAGCACATTTCAACTACATCTTCAAAACACAGTCACAGCAAACACTCAGTGATCAGTCACTTCACTAAATAATAAATATGTTAGACATTCATCTAGAAAGCAAAAGCTCTGGTACATTAATTAGCATTGGAGATTATCACAAGCAATTCAAATAGATGCTTAATAAAAAAACAGAACTCCCCCTCCTCCTTGAATTTCACATAACAGAGTTACTCCAAAAACATTTACTCCCCATTAGACTCCTGTGGCATTACATTTCATTTTCAGTGGAAACAATGCTTGCAAAGAAAACAAAGTGGGAATTCAACACCACTCTGCTCCTTTAGGCTGCAGGCATGAAAGGAAAGAAATGTCCTATGCCATTTTCTAATTGCCCAGTAAAGAGCATGTTACATCTCAAGAATTTTTCAAAATAAGTATATTCTCAAAACCAACAAAATCAAGAACAAACAACAGTTCCTGGTTAATTCATGTTAATCATGTTAAATTCCAAGTGCTCGTTCCTGCTTTTAAATTCAGAGAAGAAATACTTGTTAAAGTTAGATGCACAAATATTCTCCTACTTTCTTTAAGCTGGGTGTCTATTGGGGCACTACCCCTATTGAAAGACACGTGCTAGGGCCCGTTTGTCACAGGATCATTCACTATACACTGGCAATACTTAAAATAGAGGGCTATTTTCACTACAGCTAACAATAGTATCTGTGTTGGTGGCTGATGAGCCCCTCGTGGCGATGGCAGCCCTTCTCCCTGGTTGTGCCCTCAGCTCCTGCAGGCAGGCACACAAACAGCCCCGCTCTGGCGCTGCAGCACAAGCCCAGCACTGTTGCCCAGCTGGCAGCACGTACTCCACAGTGAACTCGTGCGTTCCCACGGGGATGCAGTACACGAACTGCATTGCGCTCCAGAGGCGGTGGAACTCCACGCACTCATCCACGTGCATCACCCCGTTGCTGGGCAGGGGCCCGCGCCAGATGGGATCGTCCAGGAAGGAGCGGATCCGCGTCAGGATCACCTCGAACATGGACAGGCCGCAGCACAGGCGTTCTTTGGTCAGCAAGTCCCCTTCCCTTGCGATTGCTATTTGCTGAAGGGCAGAGAAGCAAAGAGTAAAATCCTGGTAAAAGCCACTTCACCACAAAATTTTAATTTAAAAAATAAATACAATCCATTTTTCAGTTTCACGCGGTTTATTCTAGGAGAAATGTCTTCTGACTTAAAGTGAGCTCAGACACTG